GGGATCGAACTGTCTTTGCTAACTCCTTATTTCCCCTATTTTTAGTGTGCCATGCATACGAGGACATCGATCAACGAAGTGCAATCATGGTGAAGACCGCGTGTTGGTACCGGTGCGAAAGCCTGGTCGACCGCTGAGCACTTGTCCCCATCCTCCCGGAAAGACCTGTGAATGTCGGCACGTTACAGCCGCGCTGCCAAAAGGAGGAATTTGCCGTTGTGATGGTAGACCGGCGAAGAAGGTCAATGGGACGCCAACACTCGTTAAAGCCGAGCCACCTGAGAGCTCTCCCGTATCACCTACGAAACAACAGCAGCCGTCATTTCGAATCCAGAAGTCGGCACCGAAACCAGCCCGAAGACAATCCGACGTATCTTCGCTGCAGCGCATGGACGCCGGCAACTTCAACTTTTCGAATGGCGCTGATAACAACTTCTTAGCAGCATCCGCGAACGCTCCAGCCCCCCCTGACTGGGGTAGCTACCTTACTCCCATGCAGAATGGAGCGCACCAATATTCTACGTACCCCAACATAACTCCCACTCTCGACACGACGATGAACTCGTCACTGCTTGGCATAAATGGCAGCATAATGGATCTATCGTCGGTCCCGCATGCCGGAAACGAGATTTCCGAAAACTCGAATGGCAGTTCTGGTACGTTGACACCTGGTACTTCGGGTTCACCGTATCATACACCGACTTCAAGCAACGGGGACTCTTCTCAAGAGCTTCCCCTTGAAGGAACCAGAAGCTGCTGTTCTCAGCGGGCACAGCAACCATCACAAATCCAGCAAACGCCGCAGGTCCAACCGCATATCCAACCACAATTGCAACCCCATATGCAATTCCAAGGACAGCCTCAGGCTGGACTTCAAGAGTCTTCCAACAACATAATGGGATATGCGACCCAGATTTCCATAGGTAATGGAACAATATCAGCTCAGATTCCGGCTCAGGTGGCAACGACCCAGCAGTTGTACGCGATGAACCAATTTCAACCGACTGCGTTCCCGGACAACTCGTCGTTTGGCACGCCCCATTACCCGCTACAGCAGTCTCAGTGGGAGCAGTTGGTGGCTAATCTGCTGCCCCAACCTGGATGCGGTTCAAGTTCATTCGCGAATGGCCATGAGTGTCACTGTGGTTCTGATTGTGATTGTCTTGGATGTCTCGCCCATCCGTACAACCAAGCGACAACCCGTTACATCCATGAAGTCATGGCCTACCAAGAAAGCAACATGGACGGCAAGGTCGATATGAACGGCTCCATACCAGATCCGCCGCTGGCGGTAGGCGAAACGTCACCGCCACCCACCACAAGTCCATCCGACACAGAATCGCCGAGCACGAATGATCTCAATCTATCACCCAGCGAATTCCTTTTTGTGGATTATGGAAGTGGCATGTGCGGATGTGGGGACGACTGCGCGTGTGTCAATTGCATGATACATCGCGATCCAATCCATAATGAAAACCAGGTTAGGACACCGAACTGAAAGGGAAAGACTTTTCTCGCATTGTATTATTCAGGGGCCAAAAACATGAGGCCCCTTCTTAAAGCGACACACCGATAGAGCAAGTGATATCCCCGTGGATTTAGGTTGATATCCAAGGTCTCAGCGAGTCTTGAAGCACTTATACCAAGGTCGGTGAAGTGAGGGCGTTACGTACCAGGGCGATAGGAAGGAAATGGCGGATACACACTTTTGGAACGATATTTCGATTACTGTTTCGAGCGGACCACGATATGCATAGGGCAGCGATACGTTTACGAGTGAAGCGCGAATATGGTGGAATCTGGAGGTTGGGTGGTGATATTTTTGACGAAGCTACCGACGACTATCTGCGGACATACCCGCTATTAAGTGGGGGTATTTTCTATATTCGTCAAGTTCCAATCGGCTTCTCTGGCGTCTCCCCGGCGAGAGGGGAAGCCCAGTAAGCCGAACGAGTAGGATTCCGTCGCATATTGCCTATGTCCTACATCGGTTCTCTCTTCTCATCGGAAGTTCGATCCGCTCCCGGGAAGCAGCCAGGAAGGCCCGAGATGGAAAAGATACCCAGCTCCAAGCGACACACACATACACATTTGATTTCCGCGATGATATATGCTAAATACGTGATTGAAGAGAAACGAATTGATACCAAGGGATTATCTAGGAGCCAGGAATGGACTGACTGACTGACTGATTTGTTTGTTTGTACAGCGTTTGCCTGGGTCTTGAGTACTTGGGTTATCCCGAGATACATGCTGGTTGACGCATGGATGGTAGCATAGCGATACCGTATAAGCATAATATAATTATAACAAACACTATAGTCCTCATTTTCGTGCTATCATGTAGTGAGTAAACTTAAGCTATATTACACCTAGGTAAGATGTCTAGGTAAGTAAGTAAATAGGTGAACACTACATATTATTGTGTATGCTTTAAGGCCATCCATGGAGTTGTGTTTAACATCAAATAATAATCCTTACTTAAAAGGGGGGAAAAGACAGAAAAGGAAAAGGAAAATCGGTAGTCGCCGCTGTCCTAGGCTTTAGCTTGGATGGTATCATATCACCCGTAGGGCTGGATCTAATCTCGATTCTTAAAACATGACGGATCATGATGATATTTTCCAGGCTGACCACGACCGGGTACGCACAAACAATTACGAAAATAAGAACCTTGATGGGCGGGTAACTTCACTTTGTACAGTACTGTATGTACATAGTATGCATAAAACGGGTAAGCTAATATTATGTATGTACTAGCAGCAGCAGTTTTTGCCCCACACGCCACATGGCGATCAACCTAGGTAGGTATGTAAGCCAAAATCTCCGATAAGCTCAGCTTGCCGTCCATTCTATACTGTACAAGGCAAGCTTACTACCTATGTACACATGCATACAACAACATAGCCTGTACGACAAGGTGCAGCAAACGAATAAGCAACAAGGGCAGCGACAGCACGCAGCAGGGATTTTCCTTCTGCAGATTCCCACCGGCTGCGGCTAACGGATGCAACGAAAAACCCAGTGGATCGGCTCATTCCTTTTTAATTAATTTATCGCGTACCTAATATATCTCCTACCTATCAGGCTTCGTCAGGCGCGTCTCGTCGTTGCAATCATGGCGGAACCTGACCTTCGCAGATATCGGGACCGTGGATTGGGAGGAGATGAAACTGCTCGTCATTCGCGGGACAAGCGAACGCGTGGGGAGGGGGATGGGAATGAGGTGAAACATTCAAGACGAGGATATGATGACGGTGGTGGTGGTGGTGAGAGGTATGGGCGTGAACATAGGGAAAAGAGGAGATCATTGTCACCACGCGATGGGGCGCATCGTGAAATACAGCGTGATATAGAATACCGGCGTTCTGGACGAGACGATTATACGCAGCAATCCGATAGCATGACACGGAAACAACGAAGGCCTCTTGATGAACGCTCGCCATCGCCATCTTCAGCGCGACACACCCGCCGTCACCATCATCGCTCCCGTCGTGACGATCACCACCACCGACACAACCACCCTCCGAGCCATTCTACTCCCGCCCTCGCCCCAGCTGAGCTACCTTTCGATTCGAGACCGCTAGTTCGATCCGACCTCGACGCGTTCAAGCCGCTGCTCGCGCACTACCTTGACGTGCAAAAAGGCAAGGACATCACAACGATGGACGAGAGGGAAGTCAAGGGGCGCTGGAAGAGCTTCATAGGGAAATGGAACCATGGCGACTTGGCAGAGGGATGGTATCAACCCGAGACACTCGTCGACGCGAGAGAGAACTGGGCCGGAGTTAGTCATCGCGAACCAGCTCCGGATGAAGATGGTGATAATGAAAGAAATACTACTACTACTACTCTTACCACTACTGCTACTGCTATTGCTACTGGCACATCACCATCGCCGCCGCACAACAGACCAAATCAAGAAGAAAGCAACGACCCATCAAATACCAAAGACGAAGACGAAGACGAAGACGAAGAATTCGGCCCCACACTGCCCCCGTCGGCAACATCGCAAACCCAACCCACCTCCGTCGTCGTCGTCAGCAGACACGGCCCCGGCATCCCCACGCTCCAAGACCTCTCGCTGCGCCGCGAGGCCGCGGCCGAGTCGCACCAGCAATCCGTCGCGGACCTGCGGCTGGCCCGCAAGCTAGACCGCACCACGCAGCGCGAGCGCCTGGACGAGCTCGCGCCGCGCGCCGAACCCGGGTCGCGCGAGCGCCAGCTGGAGAAGAAACGCGCGGTCAACGACAAGATGCGCGGGTTTCGCGAGCGGTCTCCCGGTGGTGCCGGTGGTGCCGAGGTTGGGGAGGCGGAGCTTATGGGTGGAGGTGGTGGGGATGATGGAGATGATGGACTGGCGGAGTATAAACGGATGAAGGGGCTGGCGGAGAGGCGGAAGACGGATCGCGAGGTCCGACGCGAGGAGGAGAGCCGGGCGAGGGCGGCGGAGAGGGAGGAGAGGGTTCGGGAGTATCGGATTCGGGAGGAGGGCGTTTTGGAGGGGCTGAGGCGGATTGCGAAGGAGAGGTTTGGGTAGGTACCTAGGTACCTAGAGTCAGAGACGAAGCTCTGCTGGATAGAAATGCATGATGATGACTACGGGCAGCTAGAACTTATGAGTTGTTACATATCGCTTCAAGACTACCTAACTAAGGTTTATAGTGAGTATTCTAGCCTACCTAGAGACATCATCTAGCTACCTAGAAACATATCAGTTTCCTTTCTGTCGGTGGCCTAACAAATATGGCTGTCTTATCTTATCTTATATTCTACTCCCCAGACGTTCGCGCTCTTCCCTATCGATTCATATGTATATGTCCTTCGCTTGGTACTTACGTGCAAAGAAGATGTACTCTGAGCGGTCGTATTATGTCCGTTTTATCTCCGAATTCCTGGGCTTGGGTATCAACCGGCTCCACCATGGAATCTCATGCAATACATAGAGCAGTACAGAAGCTAATTATTCATCAGGTCCATACTTTACCCTGGATGGAGAGGGCGCAGTGGCGGAGTGGTCTAACGCGCAAGACTAGAATTTGTTCCAGATTTTCGTCTGGATGGAATCTGTGATCTTGTTCCTTCGGGAGCGTCTGTTCGAATCAGGCCTGCGTCGTCCCTTTTTCCTTTAGTTCCAATTTATTTAGCTCTCGTCTAATATGACTGGGGGAAATTTTTTTTTCATCATTCTTGTTTGTAAATGTTTCCCCCCTCGTTTAAATCGTGCCCAATTAGGGTAAAAGGGTAGCAGTAGTAGGGCAGGCCAGACGGTGTTACCGTGCGGCATAGTTTCCACACGGTGCAGAATAGGGGTAACTAATGTGGCAAGGTGAGAAAATGGTAGGAATACTCAGCTTCGTGGCATAAATACAGTCAAAAGTCCTCGAGACTTTTCAATTGCATAGTTTTAGGTAGTTTGGGCTCTGGTGGCTGCAGTTAAAGTCATGTTGCTTTCTCGATTAGCCCAGGGGATAGAAAGTACACTACCTAGACACCTGCGGTAATAGGAGGTGGCTAATGCATTCTTAAGGAAATGACTGGCGCTGGTGAGAATTCAGATGGCCTACAATGAAAGGATATGTACTATTATAATTGGTATTTATATGAGTGATAGCACTTCAGAGTGTGGGATTAAGGAGGTAAAGGGAGATGCTCTGCTAACCCTTAGTAGGACTAAATTATTACTCTCCATCCAAAGACTACCTTTTTGCGGTAACTAAGTAAAGATGCATGTATATAGTTTATTGGTGCCGGAACGAGACATACGTGCTTTCTCCCTCGGCGGACCTCGATATCGGACTTGAGCTTGAACTCGTTTGGAGTTGTACAGCAACATTAACCTGTTTAGACTACACAGTCATCGTATTTTATGAGGACTTTTCGATATCGTAAATAAATAATTGCGTGGTGCTACTACGACATCATTGTTATGTATAGAGACTCGAAAACAACGACTTGGTAACACTACGCTGATGAACAACCTCTGTAAAATATTCATATTTAAATGTATGAATGAATTGGGCAAGGATTTTTTTCTTTTTTCTTCATCAGCACATTAGCATATCTTACACAAAGATATCCTACGCACAATCACATTTACTTACTACTATTACATTGGTTTGTACCCCATCCAGCTTACTTACATCACAGCTTTTATCCACTTCCACTTTTTACTCTCATCATGGCGTCTTACATCAACACCAACGACATGTCCCCATTCTCGGGCTGCACCCACACTCACTCGTGTGAGTCTCCTTCCATGGAGCTTCAGGCCGGCCTCGGCGGTCCTGTGTCCGTTCCGGGTGAACGAGTCTGGTTCTGTTGCGTGGACCGGGCGGTGAACCCGATGCACGAGCGAGTGTGTCTCAGCTGCTTCCACCCGCGGTGTCCTACCTGTATGATGGACACGACGGGGGCAGCAGCGGCGCACACCGAGCGTGTCATAGACCCTCTGTCCGTCCCGGGCGAGCGCATCTGGTTCTGCTGTGTAGACCGGGCCGCGAACCCGATGCACGAGCGGGTGTGTCTCAGCTGCTTCCATCCCAGGTGCCCTACCTGCATGATGGACAGCCTCGTGTCGGTGCACGCAGGGCATCATCATCATCATCACCATCACCATCATGATGATGATGCCTTCGGTCCTTTATCCGACCCGGGCGAGCGGGGCTGGTACTGCTGCCAGGACCGCCAGCCCAACCGGATGGAGGCTCGTGTGTGTAGGAGCTGTATGCACCCGAGGTGCATGTCCTGTGTCATCGATTCTATCGAGGCAGCAACACACGCTGAGCACGACCATTAGGGCGCGGCATGGTGAGTCTGACGACGGTGAGTAGGTGATGGGTCTACTAGGACTCGAAAGGTGAGTGAGTATCCAGGAGCGTTGCGATAGATTTACCTAATCTTCCATGCTCGATTCGACATTACGTAGATAGATAAATAGGCAGGTAGGTAATATAATTATGCTTGCCCCTTAAATGACTTTGTGTTCTCTCTTTATATGTGTGAACAATCAACAATAGGCATTGTACAATGTACAACAACCAAACAATGTGCTAAATGTCTAATGTCAAATGTCTTGCATGAACTTAGTGTAAAATCCACAGGCGGGAATCCAATTGTTCACTTACCAAACGAGCCCATATCCTCATACGCCTCGGCGACATCCTCCATGCGCGAAACCGAACAATGCAGCACCGTAGCACGCTGCGACCATAGCCCCCTTGATAGGTCTTTAAAGACTATAGGAGACGAATCTCCAGGAAACGCAACCCCTGTTCTATTTTTCCCGCATAACAAAAATGCCACCTAGGCTCATAAGCTATTACCGCCAAACTGGCAAGCCAACCAGATCTCCAATGCAATCTCTATGTTCCGCAGAGCTGAAGTAAAACTTGGCCCCCCCTTCTTTTTTTCCGGTCATTTTTGTTGCGTTTTACTAACTGTCTGTTTAGGCAAGGTAGGTTATCTTCAACAATTACTCTTAATCTTCAAGATGAGCTAGCACTAGCTGAACACCTGGAAGAAGACATGGACGCGACTTTCGGTCAAATAAAACTATGTTCACGCGTTGCTCCTAGAACATCCGAGCTTAGTCTTGAAATCATCCATTCTCTTGTCCGAGAGAGCCAATATGAGAAAAGTCGTGACGTTTTAGAGTCATTTTTTGGCCGGCCTATGCCATTGCCTGACCCTGGCGCATCAGCAGATGGCATCTATGCTTCCTTTGTGCAGCTACGCGCTCACGCATGTCGCGCCAATGGCTATCATAATGATGCTAATGCCGAATCAGATCAAGACTTCGATAATAAAGAACAACTCAATTCCCCTGCTATACTCACACGACTTGTTTATTGCAGGGCCAAAATCGCAAAAAGGCTAAGAGAGCCTGACGGCGAACAATGATGGAAAACGGGATTGCGTTTATACGATGCTTATCTTTCCAATGAAAGGCCAAAATATCATATAGATTTTATTTGTGCCCATGATGAATATCGGTTACGTAACAAATAATCCCGACCAAGGGAAGAGGGACAATAGCAGCACCCAGTGGTTATACAAGTTAGTCATAGGTCCTATAAAATTCCAGAACAGCCTCTCAACTGTTCCTTGAAACCGGCACGTATCGCGAACTTGATTTCATTACACGCTAGCAGGCTACCACAATTACGTTATAAGAATCTTGGACTCCATGTGCCTCGCTCATCGAACCAATTCCAGGTCAAGAGGTCTTCAGAACCAACAGGAGTCTCGTTGGGAGTCACGTTATGTATGAGCCGACCTACGTTAAGAATTCTACGCTCGATTCATTTGATCGCTAGTTAAGTAGCTCTCGGAATATGTAGGTACCTGTGATAAAGGGTCTGAGCTTAGAGTGTATATTTAAATTCATTCAATAATTTTCATGAATTTTAAGGTCTTTAATTCCTTTATAATTTAAGTAAGAATCTTTAAACCTATTTATGCTTAAATTTAATAATATAAAATATATTAGGTTTTTTAAATATCTTTATATTAATATAATTTGCATATATAAATATTATTTTTTTAATTTATATATATTAATAATATTTTAATATTTTATTTTAATCGTTAATTATAATCGCATAAATTAATTAATAATTTTTTAATATTAAATTTTATATAATATTTTTTTTAAAAATTTATTTTTAAACGTTATTTTATATTAACGTTAATAAAATTATAAATATTTTTTTTTTAAATTTATAAATTTATAAATTTATTTAAATTTTATATATAAAATTATTTAATTAT